GATTTTACAGTTAACAGCATGGATGGCAAGAAAAATTCGTTAATATCGATCTGACGTTACGACCGAACCGATATGGGTGATTATCAAACAATATCTTTCCCTGACGATAACCCATGTCATGCCAATCCGGTTCAAACATCGGATTGATATCAAAAATAGAATTTTTCTTGTCGTTCTTGCTGCCAATTATGGAACAAGAGCATGCATGTGCTTTCATTATTTTATAACGTTTAGTTTTACGAAGCACTGTCAGAGTCTTAACCGCATTACTTTGTATAAAATAACGTAGATGATGGCATGGAGACACTTGCAATGGAGGATGTCGCGCAGGCCATGGTACACGTCCAAGATATTAGAAGGAATACGCATCGGCGGCCACAGCTGGCTGGTCAAGACATTCTGCTTTCCGGTACGTTTCCGAACGCTGAAATAAACTGCGTTGAAAAAATATGAAAATACGGGCCACGATCGATAGTGGTGGTATTCAATTACTAGTCTGCGTAATGATCCATGGAAGTGTGGTAGAAACTGGAATGAGAGGAACGCATGATGACATGCAGCGAATCGTATAACTTCTCCCACACAATATCTGAAGGATAACAAGAAGTTAAAAACTTCGTTTCAGTGTTCAGCACACGGTAAAACAAGGAAAATGCAATGCTACCTTTCGGTGCGTAGGTGCCTTCTGTCATGCTGTTCGTGATTTTAACAGTGGGAGGACTGTAGTCTGCCAACTAAAAAAGCCAGACGAAATGAAGCTCAATTCTTTTGACAGAAAAAAACGAAACGGCGTACCTCGGCGAGTGCTTGGTCAAAGTTGTCCAACTGACGCGTAAAGACGCCTTTGTCAGGCATCTGAGAATACAGTTCGCTGTACGTCTTGCTTTCCGTTGACAGCAACGTGGCCAATTCTAACTTCGTATTTTCGTAATCGCCTGAACCTGAAATTTTTCCTACCATTTACAAAAAGTTCAACCTATGACATTAGATATTGTACTGTACCCAAAGCGGTCCTCTCCAATTTAATCAGAAAGAGCAGTCATGTTTAACTGCCCGTGCATTTTACCTAGTCAACGTTACATCTCATAAATAGTTCGTAGAAACAAAAGAGAAACAATTTTACGAACATTACTTTTTCATAAATATTTTATGTTAAATTCTACGGAACTAAATGAATTGATATTATGCGCACGGAACCAACTCTTTTGGAATTAAACAATTTCGCCTTTGATGGTGGGTTCTTCAAGCAAACAAACACAATAATGTCAGGGATATTAAATACTAAACGTTACATAATTATCCCTTATCACAAAATCTTTAGCGAAAAGTTATAAAAGTTACTCAACAATAAATATAATACTGTTATACAAGAAAGCTCTATTAAATAAACTTAATGCCGTATTAAGAATTCTAAGAATAAAAACTCTACGCCACGTATACAAGTTATCAGGTAACTGCGGGAAATAAAACATTGGAGAAATAAGGAATGCCGTAACTCAATGAACAAGGCCAATCTGTCAAGCTGGAAAAGAGAGAAAATCGGCGACGAGCCTGAATAACATAACATGAAACACCCGAGAAGAAAACAAAACAAAGCCTCATTCCGATTAGCTGAAGAACAATGGAAATAAACGCAGATGCAGCACGTGGCATGGGAATGATAGTCTCCCCTCGATGGTCATAGAGCAGCGGCATCGTCGAAGAACGACACTGGTGAAATGAGTTAGTCGGGGAGGGGAGGGGAATTTTCATTCACTTCTGCAACAAAGCCTACGAACTTTGCACAGACTGGACAAACCTTATCGCCTCTGTCACTGGAAAATTTTATAACCGACAGCATAAACCAAAATCTAGTCTTCTGGCTCCAAATGTACAAG